TGCGTGTAGCAAGCCTGTAGGTTTGTACATGTGAGTGCAGTGCCTGAGGAGGCCAGAAGAGGGGTCAAATCCTCTGGAGCTGCTACTAGGAATTAAACTCTCGTCCTGTAGAAGAGCTGTACATGCTCTTAATTGCCACATCCAATCTTACTGATTACCTAAATTTGCTGAATTAAAGGCTCTTGGAAGCAAAAATTTATGAGTGTGTGGAGGCATCATGAAAACTTAATTCAGAATCCAATATGAATTTGAGAATACCACTCATGAGATCACTCGTAAGTGCCTGTCATATATTACATGTAGACAGGGTGGCATGGGTTACACATACATTACTCACAGATGACCAGGCTTCCTAATTAGGATTCCATGTGTGGATGTACAAACTGCTCTCCTGGCCTCTGCAGCCCGGCAGTCTGCAGCTGCAAGGCCCCAAGGTAGCCACCTCCCCTGAGGAGCATGCTCCTCTGCAAGCTGAGCCTGCTGTGTAAATGTTGTCAGTGTCTCTGTGTCCTGCTGCACGGTGGACAGGGGTGGGAGCAGCAACTCCAGCCACCAAATAAAAAAAAAAAACAACGCCAAGAACTAATTGAAGATCCCACTTTAAAAACACCCGAGGGAGTTCTTAAGAACTTTAAAGAGATTAAAAAGTGGAAGAGGTTATAATGGCACCACAAGACAGGAATAAATTCAGCTAAGGAAGGAGGAAGTCTCAGAAATGAGCTTCAAAGGGATTCGTTGGGGCTACTGGCAAAAGTTCTCACAAATGCAATAGAATGTAATAAAATGTGGAGTAGTGGTGTTTGCTCCACCCATGACCTTGGGCTATAGGATACAAAGGAGGCGGTGCTTCCTGCCATTGTACAAGACCTCTTAAAAGGAGAGAGAAGGGTCACATGCCCCTTCTCCCTGCTCCTGCCTGCGAGGTGGATTCGCTTCCGGTCAGATCACAGGACAACTTCAGATGTCTACTCCGTTCTGTAATTGTGAGTGTATTTCCTCACTTTATATCTTAATAAATTATGTTACCCATTTAATAGACTCACGTGGATTGATCTTAATAATGTGGACTAGAAACAGAAATTGAGTGCTAAGCATTATTAGCACTGCTAAAGGTACATATGCAGACTTTAATTATCCAGATGAAGTGATTGATATAAGGAAAATAATAGAAGAACAAGTCTGTAAATAACTGGGAGAATGGAGGTCTATACTGTGGAAACAAAGGTTAGCAACTTAGAAGCCATATGTAGAAAATAAAATATTTCCTAAGCGAACTATAACAGCAGGAACTAAGTTTGAGAGGTTCTTACATGAACAATAACATGGAATATAATAATTATGAATCTACATTAATATAATATGACTCTTGCCAGGCGGTGGTGGTGCACGCCTTTGATCCCAGCACTCAGGAGGCAGAGCCAGGCGGATCTCTGTGAGTTTGAGGCCAGCCTGGGCTACCAAGTGAGTCCTAGGAAAGTCGCAAAACTACAAAAAAAAAAAAAAAAAAACCCTCTAGGGCAGTGGTTCTCAACCTTTCTGATGCTGCAACTCTTTAATACAGTTCATGTGGTGACCCCTCCAACCATAAAAGTATTTCATTGCTTCTTCATAACTGATTTTGGTACTGTTATGAATCCTAATGTAAATATCTGATATGCAACCCTATGAAAGAGTCCTTTGATCCCCCAGGGCGTCATGACAGACTGGTTGAAAGCCACTGCTTTAGGACTTGAGAAGTAGAAATATACAGAAGACCAGGAGATGGGAGCCACCCATCAAGAGATGAGGGCAGCATCTGCTAACTTCCTAGAAACTGTTAGAAAGTCCATCCACCAGGCAGACCTTGATTCACGCAAGATAGTGAAGGCTATTTAAATGGCTCTTCAGAGACCATCATGTGTAGCATGCAGGTCTCCATGTGTAACAGGGCTTCCTAAGCATGGTACCTATACCCCTCCCTGTGAGACACTGAGAGGAATGGGTGGTTCAGAGACAACCTTTATTCTTATCTATATTGGAAGGAAAACTTGCTTTGATCTTTTGTTTTGTTTTGTTGTTTTTTGAGACAGTGTTTCTCCATGTAGTTTTGGTTCCTGTCCTGGATCTTGCTCTCTGTGTAGCTTTGTGCCTTTCCTGGAATTCACTTGGTAGCCCAGGCTGGCCTCGAACTCACAGAAATCCACCTGGCTCTGCCTCCTGAGTGCTGAGACTAAAGGCAAGCACCACCGCTGCTGCGCAGGTGAAAACTTGCTTTGTTTAATGAGTTAATGTAAAGAAAAAGAGTAAGTAGATATTTTAGTAGTATTTGCTCCGCCCATGACCTTGGGCTATAGGGCCCGAAGGAGGTGGTGTTTCCTGCTATTGTACAAGACCTCGTAAAAGGAGAGAGAAGGGTCACATGCCCTCTCCCTGCTCCTGCCTGTGAGGTGGATTCACTTCTGGTCAGATCAGAGACGACATCAGATGTCTACTCCGTTCTGTAATCGTGAGTGTAGTTCCTCACTTTATATCTTTTTTTTTTTTTTTCAATTTATTTTTCTTTATTTTATGTGCATTGGTGTATGCATGTATGTGTGAGAGTGGAGAGTGTCAGATCTTAGAGTTACAGACAGTTGTTAGCTGCCATGTGGGTGCTGGGAATTGAACCCAGGTCCTCTGGTAGAGCAGTTGTGCTCTTAACCACTGAGCCATCTCTCCAGCCCCCCTCACTTTATATCTTAATAAATTCTGTTACCCATTTAATAGACTCACGTGGATTGATCGTAATAAGGTATTAGTGCAGATTGCTACCAGGTGTGCGAAGATGATGCTGCAAGATAAAGGAAAACACTTGTGTTACTAGAAATAAGCATATATGCTGGGTGTGGTAGTACACACTTGTTAGTCCCAACACTTGAGACTAAGACAGCTTGTCTCAAAAAAAAAAAAAACCACACACCCTGGGGCTGAAGAGATGGCCCAGTGGTAAGTGCTCTTGCTGTGCTAGCACAAGGACTCAAGTTCAAACCTCCAACCACATAAAAAGCCAAGCAGAGGAGAGCTGGCCCATCCTCAGGAGCCCAGTACTGGGGAGCTGAAACAGGCAGATTCTGGACCCATGATGGGCAGCCAGCCTAGTCAAAATGGTGAGCTTCCAGTTCAGTGAAAGACCTTGTCTTAAAGGGATAGGGCAGAAAAAGATAGACACCTGCCGTTCTCTGGCCTCCACATGCACGCATCACACACACCAAAAATAACAAGGTGTGTACTGTATGTACCTAAATTTGAGTAGCGCCTTTACACATTAACAACAGCCATGTACAATTGTAAACTGGCAAAAAATTAAAAATAACTTTAGAATCAAATATCTCTGAGTATGTAGTGTGTGTTGATGTGTGTGTGTCGATGTTGGGTATCTTCCTCAGTCTCCACCTTTTTGTGCTGTGGTTGGGTGTAGTGTGTGCCCTGTACTTTAGTGTGCAGGCATGTGGAGGTCAGAGGTGACATCCAGATTGCTTCCTCGGTGTCTTCTCTGCCTTATTCTGAGACAGTCTCTCTGAACCTAGAGCTTGCTGTTTTAGCCAGAGTGACCGCTGAGTCTCCCGAATCTGCCACACTCAGCTTTTTCTTGATGCTGGCTGGGATCCGAATTCAGACCCTCACACTTACCAGGCAAACACTTCATCAAGTGAACCATCTCTCAGCCTTGAAATCGGGTCGTTGTTTTTTTCTATAAGATTAGTTTGGGTCTTTACCATTTTTAATGTAATAAACCATAAATACTGCCTGGAAAACTAAATATTGCTAGAGAAGATGGTGATAAGTTAATTTTACAAATGAGTATTTTCATTAGTTTTAACTACAGTCCAGCGTTTATCAAATGCCTTAGATCACTACTGGGAGAGCGGAACGTTTGGCAGAATTTCCAGTTCTGCCATCACATGCGGGCTCCACAGGGATCCCAGGGCTAAAAGCTAAAAGATATGAACATATGTTGTTTGTGGTTTTTTTTTTTTTAAAGATTTATTTATTATGTATACAGCATATATGACTGCAGGCCAGGAGAGGGCACCAGATCTCATTACAGGTGGTTGTGAGCCACCATGCGGTTGCTGGGAATTAACTCAGGACCTCTGGAAGCAGTCAGTGCTCTTCACCTCTGAGCCAGCTCTCCAGCCCCCTGTTTGTGTTTTAACTAAACCTCAGACACAAATCATCCCTTAGTATAGTTGTTCTCCATCTTCCTGATGCTGTGACCCTTTATTAATACAGTTCCTCATGTTGTGATAACCTTCAACCATAAAATTATTTTTGTTGCTACTTCGTAACTAATTTTGCTACTGTTATGAATTGTAATGTAAATATCTGATCTGCAACCCCTGTGAAAGGGTCGTTCAGTGCCTCACCCAGGGGTTTGACCCATGGGTTGAGAAGCCCTGCCTTACTAGCTTTATGGAAACGACATTTCAGCTGGTTGTCTTCTGTCTCTGTGTGGTTCTTACTGTGGCCTGCCCTGACTCCCAGGATACTGAACAAGCCCACTTGCTAGGACACTGAGGGCCATACTTACTTGGTAATTGCTTATTAACATTGTTCTGGTTTACTAGCCACCTAATTTCCAGGACATTTCCTTTATTCCAGATTATGATGATGGCTTTTCAATGAAGCATACAGCCACCGCCCGTTTCCAGAGAAACCACCGCCTCATCAGTGAGATCCTCAGTGAGAGCGTGGTGCCTGATGTGCGGTCGGTTGTCACAACAGCTAGAATGCAGGTCCTCAAGCGACAGGTCCAGTCTTTAATGGTACATCAGGTAAGGGCAGAAAGCATTCGTTGTAATAAAAAGAGTCTATGGCACACATCCCAGGTGACGTGGCTCTGGTAGAGTGTATAAGTAGACCTGTGAAGTGGTGTCACCTGTGCCTCTCGTTAAGGGAGAGGAGGACCATTGCAGAAGTTCAGTGAGTTTGTCACTGAAGACCGTGATAGAACATTGGAGTATAGCTGTTAAAAGATGGGTGCCAACTCAAGACTGGGGAGCACTCCATCAGCCTTTGCTGCATTACTGTCAAATGGTTTTCCTGGGGGTTGGAGAGATGGCTCAGCAGTTAAGAGCACTGGCTGCTCTCCCAGAGGACCTGGGATCAATTCCCAGCACCCACATGGCAGCTCACAAATTCCAGTTCCAGGGGATCCAACACCATTACACAGATGCACCAATGTAAATAAATAAATCACTGTCAAAAAAAGATTTTACTCATTAACATATTGTTAATGGTAGTCTTTCCCTATGTAACATTTTTTAAATAATAACTAGATTTTATACTAAATGATTTTTTTTTTTATGTAAAATTAGTGAGCTGGAGAGATGGTTCAGTGATTAGGAACATGTACTGCTCTTCCAGAGAACCTGAATTCAGTTCCCAGAACCCATGTGGTGACTTGAAACCACCTATAACTCCAGCTCCTGGGGACCCAACACCCTCTTCTGGCCTCCCTGGGCACCTACACTTGTGTACATCCCCACTTACACATCATTTAAAATGCAAAATTATACTTTAAAGCATAAACTTTTTTGGTTTGGTTTGGTTTGGTTTTGGCTTTTCAAGACAGGATTTCTTTGTGTAGCTTTTTGAAGCCTGTCCTGGAACTCACTCTGTAGACCAGGCTGGCCTCAAACTCACAGAGATTCACATGCCTCTGCCTCCCAAGTGCTGGGATTAAAGGCGTGCCCCACCACCACCCAGCTAAACTCTTTTTAAAATGACATACTGTGTGTGCTTCACATCTGCTTTAGAGAAAACATAATTGTTCGTAATCTCATCTGATCCCTTGCAGCGAAAACTAGAAGCGGAACTTCTTCAGATAGAGGAACGACACCAGGAGAAGAAGAGGAAGTTCCTGGAAAGCACAGATTCCTTTAACAATGAACTGAAAAGGGTATCTTTCCATTCATTGACTGCCTTTATCATGTGCCTGTTGCTTTGGTTTTTTTGTTTTTAAGTAATTTTTTGTTGAGTGTCAGTCCCTTTGAAACAGTACTAACATCATAGTAGAGCTTGTACTGTCTTTCTAAAATTGTTCCCATTTTTCTGAAATAATAAATTTGCAGTGTCATGTAGTATACATTTAAGGACTAGGCCCACAGGTGATAGAGCCCTCTAATGCTTTTGTTTAAAGTCTTTGTAGTTGTGAATTATTTTCACTTTATTGTAATTTATTTATAGATGTCTTCACTAGATGTAGTTGAGTTGCACTTTGTATTAAAACAAGTAAATCTCAACTGAGTGTGGTGCACACCTTTGATCCCAGGTAGAAGTAAGAGAATCTCAATGAGTTCAGGCCAGCCTGGTCTACCTAGTGAGTCCCAGGACTACATAGAGAGACCCTGTCTCAAAAAAACCAAACCTTAAAAACATAAAGGAATGAATAAATGAGCGAATGGAGTGTTTGATAGCTGAAGTGTAGGTGGGGCATCCTAAGGCTAGCCTGGTCCTGGGCAGTGCCCCAGCAGCCCCTGCCCTGCCCAGTGTGGGTGGGGCATCCTAAGGCTAGCCCAGTCCTGGGCAGTGCCCCAGCAGCCCCTGCCCTGCGCTGTCTGGTGAGCTGCGGCCTGTACAGTTTGAGGACAAAACACTGCCTTGTTTTTCTCCCTTGTGTAAATATATTATTAAGCCAAGAAACAACTTGCCTGACTCGGCTTCGAAGAAGAGAGCATTGCTGAGAGTTCTGATTTGTGTTTGACTAGTTATGCGGTCTGAAGGTGGAGGTCGACATGGAGAAAATTGCCGCTGAAATTGCACAGGCAGAGGAACAGGCCCGCAAAAGGCAGGAGGAGAGGGAGAAGGAGGCAGTGGAGCAAGCCGAGCGCAGTCAGGGCGGCATCGCCCCTGAGGAAGAGCAAGTGGCAAACAAAGCCGAGGAGAAGAAGGACGAGGAGAACAACCCCATAGAAACAGGTAACCGGTAGAAACGGGTCACCGGCTTCTCGGCCCCTAGGATGTGGGATGTGGGGTTCTGGGCCCTTGACAGCCGGCTTCTGACCTTCCTTTAGTTCATCCCTGTGACTGTCCAGTCTCACGTCCACAGTAGACTCCGTGCTGCTGTTGCTGGCACTGCGGGCACTATGGTGGCTCAGTCTTGCTGTCTGAGCTCTTGGTTGTACCCAGGTGGATGCGTGTGGCTCTGGAGACACAAAGGGGCCTCGTCCCTTTCCCCATTGCTGGCACTGTGACTCTACTGAGCTTTTTGGCTTATTTCTTCATTTGACAAGTGCCTGCCTCTGAGTGTGTTCCAGTCTTAGATTTGGCATAAGATTAACAGGCAATAATATTTTAACCCTTACGTCTACTTATTTACGTAAGATGTGATCATTGTCCCCAAGATTGTTGTCTTTGGTGTCTTAGGATGACATTGGGCAGAGTAATTGTGTGTGTGTGTGTGTGTGTGTGTGTGTGTGTGTGTGTGTGTGTGTG